TTCCAATAAAATTAAATACAAATTAATTATAATAATTAAATATAAATTTGTTTTAATTAACTTTTTCTATGTTGAGAAAAGTTCCTTGTTTCTTTTGGAATATCTTAAAGATTCTTTTATAATTAAATTTTACAAAATATATAACTATTAAATTTATAGTATTTAATATGTAGAAATAAATAGAGAATATTTCATTTTTATATAGATTAAGTATACGATATTATTTATTAAAAGCACTAATACATCTTTTATGGATTTTTTTGTTAAGTTAATTATTTAGATCTACGATTGTTTTACTGCATTTCAATCCGAATTATATATTTAAATGATCGAAAAATAAAACGATAATAAAATAATAAGCAATATATCTAGTTTAAAAATAGTATATATAAATAATAAATAATAAATAATTTTTATAAATTACTTACCGCATGTCTCTGGCTGCTTCAGGCTCTCTCCTTGCTTTCTGACTGTCCGATACTTTTCCAGATGTCCTTCTCTTTTTTTGTTTCATCCTTTGTTGTTTTTTCGTAGCACTCACGTATTCACTCGCGAACAAACAATTACATTTCAGTTAATTATATTTCAGTCATATACAGAAACGATCGCGAGACACTTTGCACGGCACTCCCGATCGCAAAATAATCATACAAGATACGTATTTTTATTATATTATTATTATTTTATTATTATTGCAAGAGAGGAACACAAAAATTACAATAATTCGCTCGATTTTTAAACGAAGCCAAAATCATGCACCATTCGATTCTTACACTAATTAACTATTTCTATTTGTTGATGTATAATATATGCATAATAACGCGAATCATAAGATTAAAATATTAAAGTAATGTAAATTGATGATACAGCAATCGTTTAATTAATATGATATACTCGTATATGCATGCAGTTTAGGAAAGTTTAAAACATCGGGCGAAATTGAATTTCATTCTACGCAATGTTAAAGAAATAATTATTATTCTTCTAAAGTTCGATAATCGGAGAATATTGCAAGAAAATTTGTAATTTTTGCCCCTTTCGCTTCAATTTTTATTTGCAATAATGAAAGATCGCGTTTCGATGAATTTATCGTCGCCACAATTGCATTTATTATAAGAGTTAATTATTTGTCATTTGTAATAGTCGAATTATTATATTTCGATCTAATCGCGATCGTACCTTTAGGAAAAGAATTCGATAATACGGAGCGGTCCGTATCGCTACTTTCTCCGTTGGAATGTCGCCGTGCGAATGAGGGGAGGTCGTCGCGTATGTAAACAATAGCGCGCTACGTCACAAGGCCAAATGACGTCACAAGGTCTAATGACGTGTTAGTTCGCTGCCGAAATATTTAACGCGTACTGTGACGTATGTGAGAATTGTATTTATATACAAGTATATTTTTAAAGTCACACACGCGCACACACACACACACACACACACGTACCTGAGAAAAAAGTTGTTAACTCGACTAAACCGTTTAACTAAATTATTATTTTTTAAATTGAAATATTGAAATATTTAAGTTAAATAAATGTCATGTTAGATTTATAGTTAAATATTCCAGTTAAAAAGGTAATAATTTAGTTAAATGGTTTAGTTAAGTTAACAACTTTTCTTCTTTTACAATTAATCTTTTCTCTGTCTGCTATTTGATTGTTTTATTACGCTTTTAGAAAGTCAAGTTCTATAATGTAACTTTTAATGTTGTATTTCATATGAAATTATTATTTTAAACATAATAATTTTCATTCTTTGCATTTCTATCATGAATAGACATTTCCAACCTTTACTAAAAAAACTAAAAATATCCCTCAATTTTTTCTCTCTTTGGACAATTTATTTACATTTATATATAATTCTCTTTATTCCTTTAAAAGTGAACAAGGCACACGAGTATTGTAAATGTCAAAAAATGATCGCGCGAATATTATAGTTGTGAATATATAAAAATAAATGCAATATACTATGAATTTTCTACGTTATATATTGAATCGAAATTGCACAAAAGAGGAAAAGAAGAACAAGCCTATGAATAGACATTTCCATTTTTTATTAAAAAATTAAAAATATCTCTCAATTTTTTCTCTCTTCGGATAATTTATTTACATTTATATATAATTCTCTTTATTCCTTTAAAAGTGAACATCGAGAACAACTCTCTTTCTTCAGGCAAGTCTACATATATGACCAATATGATTAATTGATTCCATCTTTATATATTTATCATTATGTGCTATTAATTAAAGCTGTAGACAATATTCAGAAATCAAAGTTGCGCGCAGAAACGAAAGCGCACTGGTTCGGCCGCCATGTTGGCGCGTGACTGCAACGTCACTGCTACGTCACTGCTACGTAAAACGCGTCATACGGTCGCCATGTTGGCGCATGAATCGGAGTCATACGCAGTTACACGGATCGTCGAACGTCCGCATTTTTCGCGTCTTTTAACCGTTTTTAAACGAATATCGCGACTGAAAGAGCGTCGAGAGTGTCCAAGGATGATCGCGCGACTTTCATAGTGTGTCGATGGAAACGCGCGACAGCGATTTTTGACGATATTCAGTGATGGCGTCATCGCGAAGATGGAGCGAAGTTGCGTCGCGTTATTCGCGCCCTTGATGATGATTATCGGATGCGAGCGAATATCAGGAGTGCCGAATAAAGTGTCGCGCGTTCGCGTTGATGATATCGTGTGCATCAAGATCGGAATGGGACGTCCCGAGGCGAGCGAACTGTCCCGAGGAGGAGCGGCCTGTGGAACAGCCGGTGAACGGTGAGTAGATGTGATTTATTATCATATTTGCGTAACAATTCAACGCTTATACAGCATCGCGATGTCCCGAATTACGTTCAAACAAATCGGCGCCGCACCATAATGCGATGCCGTGCAATTCAAATAAAGTCGATCGCGTGAAGATGGTTATGCTAGAAGCGATTTGAATTTTGTATACGCGCGCGCAGTGCTGCACAGACAGCCTATCTCGTAGGGATGCCAACTGTTAAACGATAAATTTGTTTGATCTAACCTAACCTAACCTCTCAGTGTCTTTGGATATCGAATGTAAACACAAGCGTATGCTGCCTGGATTGTATCATGCTTTAAAAAATAGTATTTAATTATTTCATTAGTTTATTACATTTTATTACGTAATATATTAATCGTATTAAATGTGCGACGTAGAGTTTTACACATTTTAATGAGTAGCATATAATATAATTGGTTAGGTTAGATTAAATTAAAACAAGCTGCTGTGATTCATTTAACGTAATAGGATTAATTTGACGAATGTGCAGCTATTGAAGTTACATGATATTTGTGGACACATTTTTAAAGTAATCATGAGTGTCTTATCACATCTCGATTACATGAAATTAAAATATAAAATATTTATGTATTCCACATTAACGTTATTCATTACAAGTACTATATTACTACATTACAAGTACTTTTCTTATATCTCAATCATATTCAACCATTTATTTCATCGATGAAGCTTTTCATATATCGCAGACAATATGATACTGCGTGTGGAATTTTACACAGGTAATACATGGCACAAAAATAATTTGCTCTCAAGTATTGTGTGCATTTTTGAAAAATAAATCAAATTAAATTATTTTCAGAATCCAAACATCGCTACATTGCCAGGATTGTATCTTATTATAACTGCGATATTATCACCTTTTAATATGTGTGCGCAGTATTACATACATAAAATATATAAATTTATTTGAAACGTACTGAAATCTTTATCTTATTTATAATATTCGTGATATTATAAAAGAAAATTGCAACTGTAATGAAACAGAGCGGTGGAATAATTGGTTGATTGGTTAATTGCAGGTAATTATGTTATACTTATATATCGTAAGAAAGAGAAAATAAAATAAAAGTTGAATACTGAATGTGCTCTAAAGTAAATCTCATCTAAATAAATAAATGCATAAATGTGCGCCCCACATTCCTCATGAAAAAAATATATAATATTAATCTTTATGTATTATTATTTTTAGATTTGTTTTTTATTCTTTTAAATTCTCTAGATACACTTTTCATTTCTCCTCTCTTTCTTTTCAACTACTAAATATAGATCTATCATTTTTAATATAGATCTGTCATTTTTAGTGTACATTATTGGAGTAAGTGGAACAAAGAGCAAATCTTTTGGCACATTTAGAATGTACAGGAAAGTCAGTTTTATCTGATGCGTTTTTTTCAATAGAAATATCTGAAAAAATGCATACGTCTTTTTTAATCTTAATCTTTCTAAATAAAAATTAGAATAATAAATGTGCAAAATAATTTGCTTTAATATATTTTTATTGCAAACATATGAAGCAAAGTGCTCAAGGTGCATCACTATGAAAACATAGATAGAATAAAAAGTAGATCGTATACAAAAGAATTAAAATATTTACACTACATATTTGATATAGCATTTAATCGATATGTGCAGTAATACAATAAAATCTAATTTTCTCTCGAATTTTTTCACGAAATTTAAACTACTAGAAAAATATCAAATATTCAAATTGTTCAATAGTCTTGCGAAAGAAGCAGTTCTCGCTTAAAGAATCTTTAGAAAAAAAAAAATAAAAAAATTCTAAAGAAAAAAAAGGACAAAAAATTTTTAATCTGACATGGATATTTAATTTTGTACTAATATTTTTAATGTAACACTTCATTTATAAAGATTTTATTTTGTGAAACGTTTATACATAAAAGTACAATGATTATAAGGCTTCTTTAATCTATTGGTTCATCTTCGCATGTTTTTCGTCTATAAAATATTTGTGCTTCTGGATACTTTTCTCTGGAAGCTTTATGCAATGTGTGTAACCTAAATCTGTTACCGTACAAGTATTAGAGTAACGGAATAAGTATATGTAATTTGATTAAAAATACGTTTCTTATATGAATTTTTAATTACATATTTTATTATACTACAAATAAAAAAAATCATGCTTGCGCGACGTGATTCTAACAATTTACCGACATGCACAAAATGATGACTTTACCGGCAGTCGAAGTATCTAGACTACGTAATTCTGGCGTTTAACGCGAATGCAGATGGCGATACTAAACAGCAAAAAAGATGGCCGCATTGTGTGAAACGCGAGGCGCGAAATATTGCATTTCGTATATCAATTTATAAATGCATGAAGAAATCCATTGCTTCTAACTCACCGTTGGCGGGACAATACTCGAACAAAAATTAAAGTGAAAAAGTAAAGGCAAAATTAAGCAGCACCAGCAGCAGCAGCAGCGGGCAGCGGGCAGCGGGCAGCGAGCATTTTTTTTTTTTTTTTTTTTTAATTTGATACTCTTTCTTTTTACAGTTTCGAGCTTTCGGTCATCTTTGTCTTTTGTCTCTATTTTTTCTATTTCCCTACTTTTATGTTTAAGGAGCCTTTTATTTAAACTTTGTTTATTATTTTAATTTGGTTCTCTTTTTATTCTAATTTGTTCCCTTCTTTTTCTTATTTTTTTTTTCTTTTTCAGAATGTGGGTCTCTCAGCCGACATCAGTAGCAGCGGACAGCGGACAGCGGCAGTGGGAAGCGGACAGCGGACAGCGGCAGCGAGAAGCGGACAGCGGGAAGCGGACAGCGGACAGCGGCAGCGAGAAGCGGACAGCGGACAGCGGGAAACTGACAGCGGACAGCGACAGCGGGAAGCTGACAGCGGGAAGCTGACAGCGGACAGCGGCAGCGGGAAGCGGACAGCGGACAGCGGCAGCGAGAAGCGGACAGCGTACAGCGGACAGCAGCAGCAGCAGCGGGCATTTTTTTTTTTTTTATATATTTAATTCTCTTTCCTTTTACAGTTTCGAGCTTTCGGTCATCTTTGTCTTTTGTCTCTAATTTTTCTATTTCCCTACTTTTATGTTTAAGGAGCCTTTTATTTAAACTTTGTTTTTTATTTTAATTTGTTTCTCCTTTTATTCTAATTTGTTCCCTTCTTTTTCTTATTTTTTTTTCTTTTTCAGAATGTGGGTCTCTCAGCCGACATCAGTAGCAGCGGACAGCGGACAGCGGCAGTGGGCAGCGGACAGCGGGAAGCGGACAGCGTGAAGCGGACAGCGGGAAGCGGACAGCGTGAAGCGGACAGCGGACAGCGGGAAGCGGACAGCGGGAAGCGGACAGCGGCAAGCGGACAGCGGACAGCGTGAAGCGGACAGCGGACAGCGGGAAGCGGACAGCGGACAGCGGGAAGCGGACAGCGGCAAGCGGACAGCGGACAGCGTGAAGCGGACAGCGGACAGCGGGAAGCGGACAGCGGACAGCGGGAAGCGGACAGCGAGAAGCGGACAGCGGACAGCTTGAAGCGGACTGCGGACAGCGGGAAGCGGATAGCGGGAAGCGGACAGCGGGAAGCGGACAGCGGGAAGCGGACAGCGTGAAGCGGACAGCGGGAAGCGGACAGCGGACAGCGGGAAGCGGACAGCGGCAAGCGGACAGCGGACAGCGTGAAGCGGACAGCGGACAGCGGGAAGCGGACAGCGGACAGCGGACAGCGGGAAGCGGGAAGCGGACAGCGAGAAGCGGACAGCGGACAGCTTGAAGCGGACTGCGGACTGCGGACAGCGGGAAGCGGATAGCGGGAAGCGGACAGCGGGAAGCGGGCAGCGGGAAGCGGACAGCGGACAGCTTGAAGCGGACTGCGGACTGCGGACAGCGGATAGCGGGAAGCGGACAGCGGGAAGCGGACAGCGGGAAGCGGACAGCGTGAAGCGGACAGCGGGAAGCGGACAGCGGACAGCGTGAAGCGGACAGCGGACAGCGGGAAGCGGACAGCGGACAGCGGACAGCGGGAAGCGGGAAGCGGACAGCGAGAAGCGGACAGCGGACAGCTTGAAGCGGACTGCGGACTGCGGACAGCGGGAAGCGGATAGCGGGAAGCGGACAGCGGGAAGCGGGCAGCGGGAAGCGGGCAGCGGGAAGCGGACAGCAGCAGCAGCAGCAGCAGCGGGCATTTTTTTTTTTTTTTTTTTATTTAATTCTCTTTCCTTTTACAGTTTCGAGCTTTCGCTGATCTATGTCTTTTGTCTCTAATTTTTCTATTTCCCTACTTTTATGTTTAAGGAGCCTTTTATTTAAACTTTATTCTTTATTTATTATTTTGTTTCTCTTTTTATTCTAATTTGTTCCCTTCTTTTTCTTATTTTTTTTTCTTTTTCAGAATGTGGGTCTCTCAGCCGACATCAGCAGTACCGGCTGCGAGCAGCAGCAGCAGCAGCAGCTGGAACCAGCAGCAGCAGCGGGAGGCGGACAGCGGACAGCGGCAGCAGGAAGCGGGAAGCGGACAGCGGCAGCGGGAAGCGGACAGCGCACAGCGGGAAGCAGACAGGGAGAAGCGGACAGCGGATAGCGGGAAGCGGACAGCGGACAGCGGGAAGCGGACAGCGGGAAGCGGACAGCGGGAAGCGGACAGCGGGAAGCGGACAGCGGGAAGCGGACAGCGGACAGCGGGAAGCGGACGGCGGGAAGCGGATAGCGGACAGCGGGAAGCGGACAGCGGCAAGCGGACAGCGGCAGCGAGAAGCGGACAGCGGGAAGCGGACAGCGGACAGCGGCAGCGAGAAGCGGACAGCGGACAGCGGGAAACTGACAGCGGACAGCGGCAGCGGGAAGCTGACAGCGGGAAGCTGACAGCGGACAGCGTCAGCGGGAAGCGGACAGCGGACAGCGGGAAGCGGACAGCGGACAGCGGGAAGCCGACAGCGAGAAGCGGACAGCGGACAGCGGGAAGCGGACAGCGGGAAGCGGACAGCGTGAAGCGGACAGCGTACAGCGGGAAGCGGACAGCGTGAAGCGGACAGCGTGAAGCGGACAGCGGACAGCGGGAAGCGGACAGCGGGAAGCGGACAGCGGACAGCGGACAGCGGACAGCAGCAGCGGCAGCGGGCATTCTTCTTTTTCTTTTTTTTTATTTGATTCTCTTTCCTTTTACAGTTTCGAGCTACAGCAGTAGCAGTAGCAGCAGCGGGCAGCGGAGAGCGGACAGCGGGAAGCTTACAGCGGGAAGCTTACAGCGAGAAGCGGACAGCGTGAAGCGGACAGCGGACGGCGGGATGCGGACAGCGGACAGCGGGAAGCGGACAGCGGACAGCGGGAAGCCGACAGCGAGAAGCGGACAGCGGACAGCGTGAAGCGGACAGCGTGAAGCGGACAGCGGACAGCGGGAAGCGGACAGCGTGAAGCGGACAGCGGGCAGCGGGAAGCGGACAGCGTGAAGCGGACAGCGGGCAGCGGACAGCGGACAGCAGCAGCGGCAGCGGGCATTCTTCTTTTTTTTTATTTGATTCTCTTTCCTTTTACAGTTTCGAGCTACAGCAGTAGCAGTAGCAGCAGCGGGCAGCGGAGAGCGGACAGCGGGAAGCTTACAGCGGGAAGCTTACAGCGAGAAGCGGACAGCGTGAAGCGGACAGCGGACGGCGGGATGCGGACAGCGGACAGCGGTAAGCGGACAGCGGGCAGCGGGAAGCGGACAGCGGGAAGCGGACAGCGGACAGCGTGAAGCGGACAGCGTGAAGCGGACAGCGGACAGCGGGAAGCGGACAGCGTGAAGCGGACAGCGGGCAGCGGGAAGCGGACAGCGTGAAGCGGACAGCGGGCAGCGGACAGCGGACAGCAGCAGCGGCAGCGGGCATTCTTCTTTTTCTTTTTTTTTATTTGATTCTCTTTCCTTTTACAGTTTCGAGCTACAGCAGTAGCAGTAGCAGCAGCGGGCAGCGGAGAGCGGACAGCGGGAAGCTTACAGCGGGAAGCTTACAGCGGGAAGCTTACAGCGAGAAGCGGACAGCGTGAAGCGGACAGCGGGAAGCGGACAGCGGAAAGCGGGAAGCTGACAGCGGACAGCGGGAAGCGGACAGCGGGAAGCGGACAGCGGAAAGCGGGAAGCTGACAGCGGACAGCGGGAAGCGGGAAGCGGACAGCGGGAAGCGGACAGCGGGAAGCGGACAGCGAAAAGCGGACAGCGAGAAGCGGACAGCGGACAGCGGGAAGCGGACAGCGGGAAGCGGACAGCGCACAGCGGGAAGCAGACAGGGAGAAGCGGACAGCGGATAGCGGGAAGCGGACAGCGGACAGCGGGAAGCGGACAGCGGGAAGCGGACAGCTGGCAGCGGACAGCGGGAAGCGGACGGCGGGAAGCGGACAGCGGAAAGCGGGAAGCGGACAGCGGGAAGCGGACAGCGGAAAGCGGACGGCGGGAAGCGGATAGCGGACAGCGGGAAGCGGGAAGCGGACAGCTGGCAGCGGACAGCGGGAAGCGGACGGCGGGAAGCGGATAGCGGACAGCGGGAAGCGGGAAGCGGACAGCGGGAAGCGGACAGCTGGCAGCGGACAGCGGGAAGCGGACGGCGGGAAGCGGATAGTGGACAGCGGGAAGCGGGAAGCGGACAGCGGGAAGCGGACAGCGGGAAGCGGACAGCGGAAAGCGGGAAGCTGACAGCGGACAGCGGGAAGCGGACAGCGAGAAGCGGACAGCGGACAGCGGGAAGCGGGAAGCGGACAGCGGGAAGCGGACAGCGGGAAGCGGACAGCGAAAAGCGGACAGCGAGAAGCGGACAGCGTGAAGCGGACAGCGGACGGCGGGATGCGGACAGCGGACAGCGGGAAGCGGACAGCGGACAGCGGGAAGCCGACAGCGAGAAGCGGACAGCGGACAGCGGGAAGCGGACAGCGAGAAGCGGACAGCGCACAGCGGGGAGCAGACAGCGAGAAGCGGACAGCGGACAGCGGGAAGCGGACAGCGGACAGCGGGAAGCGGACAGCGGACAGCGGACAGCGGACAGCGGTAAGCGGACAGCGGGCAGCGGGAAGCGGACAGCGGGAAGCGGACAGCGGACAGCGGGAAGCGGACAGCGGGAAGCGGACAGCGGACAGCGGGAAGCGGACATCGTGAAGCGGACAGCGGACAGCGGGAAGCGGACAGCGTGAAGCGGACAGCGGGAAGCGGACAGCGGGAAGCGGACAGCGGACAGCGGACAGCGGACAGCGGTAAGCGGACAGGGGGCAGCGGGAAGCGGACAGCGGGAAGCGGACAGCGGACAGCGGGAAGCGGACAGCGGGAAGCGGACAGCGGACAGCGGGAAGCGGACAGCGTGAAGCGGACAGCGGACAGCGGGAAGCGGACAGCGTGAAGCGGACAGCGGGCAGCGGGAAGCGGACAGCGGGAAGCGGACAGCGCACAGCGGGAAGCGGACAGCGTGAAGCGGACAGCGGGCAGCGGGCAGCGGGCAGCGGGCAGCGGGAAGCTTACAGCGGGAAGCTTACAGCGAGAAGCGGACAGCGTGAAGCGGACAGCGGGAAGCGGACAGCGGAAAGCGGGAAGCTGACAGCGGACAGCGTGAAGCGGACAGCGGACAGCGGGAAGCGGACAGCGGGAAGCGGACAGCGTGAAGCGGACAGCGGACAGCGGACAGCAGCAGCGGCAGCGGGCATTCTTCTTTTTCCTTTTTTTTATTTGATTCTCTTTCCTTTTACAGTTTCGAGCTACAGCAGTAGCAGTAGCAGCAGCGGGCAGCGGAGAGCGGACAGCGGGAAGCTTACAGCGGGAAGCTTACAGCGAGAAGCGGACAGCGTGAAGCGGACAGCGGACGGCGGGATGCGGACAGCGGACAGCGGGAAGCGGATAGCGGACAGCGGGAAGCGGACAGCGGTAAGCGGACAGCGGACAGCGGGAAGCGGACAGCGGGAAGCGGACAGCGGGAAGCGGACGGCGGGAAGCGGATAGCGGACAGCGGGAAGCGGACAGCGGAAAGCGGGAAGCTGACAGCGGACAGCGGGAAGCGGACAGCGGGAAGCGGACAGCGGACAGCGGGAAGCGGGAAGCGGACAGCGGGAAGCGGACAGCGGGAAGCGGACAGCGAAAAGCGTACAGCGAGAAGCGGACAGCGTGAAGCGGACAGCGGACAGCGGGAAGCGGACAGCGGGAAGCGGACAGCGGAAAGCGGGAAGCTGACAGCGGACAGCGGGAAGCGGACAGCGGGAAGCGGACAGCGGAAAGCGGGAAGCTGACAGCGGACAGCGGGAAGCGGGAAGCGGACAGCGGGAAGCGGACAGCGGGAAGCGGACAGCGAAAAGCGGACAGCGAGAAGCGGACAGCGTGAAGCGGACAGCGGGAAGCGGACAGCGGGAAGCGGACAGCGTGAAGCGGACAGCGGACAGCGGACAGCAGCAGCGGCAGCGGGCATTCTTCTTTTTTTTTATTTGATTCTCTTTCCTTTTACAGTTTCGAGCTACAGCAGTAGCAGTAGCAGCAGCGGGCAGCGGAGAGCGGACAGCGGGAAGCTTACAGCGGGAAGCTTACAGCGAGAAGCGGACAGCGGGAAGCGGACAGCGGAAAGCGGGAAGCTGACAGCGGACAGCGGGAAGCGGACAGCGGGAAGCGGACAGCGGAAAGCGGGAAGCTGACAGCGGACAGCGGGAAGCGGGAAGCGGACAGCGGGAAGCGGACAGCGGGAAGCGGACAGCGAAAAGCGGACAGCGAGAAGCGGACAGCGTGAAGCGGACAGCGGACAGCGGGAAGCGGACAGCGGGAAGCGGACAGCGTGAAGCGGACAGCGGACAGCGGACAGCAGCAGCGGCAGCGGGCATTCTTCTTTTTTTTTATTTGATTCTCTTTCCTTTTACAGTTTCGAGCTACAGCAGTAGCAGTAGCAGCAGCGGGCAGCGGAGAGCGGACAGCGGGAAGCTTACAGCGGGAAGCTTACAGCGAGAAGCGGACAGCGTGAAGCGGACAGCGGACGGCGGGATGCGGACAGCGGACAGCGGGAAGCGGATAGCGGACAGCGGGAAGCGGACAGCGGTAAGCGGACAGCGGACAGCGGGAAGCGGACTGCGGGAAGCGGACAGCTGCAAGCGGACAGCGTGAAGCGGACAGCGGACAGCGGGAAGCGGACAGCGGACAGCGGACAGCGGGAAGCGGACAGCGTACAGCGGGAAGCGGACAGCGTGAAGCGGACAGCGGGCAGCGGGAAGCGGACAGCGGACAGCAGCAGCGGCAGCGGCAGCGGGCATTCTTCTTTTTTTTTATTTGATTCTCTTTCCTTTTACAGTTTCGAGCTACAGCAGTAGCAGTAGCAGCAGCGGGCAGCGGAGAGCGGACAGCGGGAAGCTTACAGCGGGAAGCTTACAGCGAGAATCGGACAGCGTGAAGCGGACAGCGGGAAGCGGACAGCGGACAGCGGGAAGCGGACAGCGGGAAGCCGACAGCGAGAAGCGGACAGCGGACAGCGGTAAGCGGACAGCGAGAAGCGGACAGCGCACAGCGGGAAGCAGACAGCGAGAAGCGGACAGCGGACAGCGGGAAGCGGACAGCGGACAGCGGGAAGCGGACAGCGGACAGCGGACAGCGGACAGCGGTAAGCGGACAGCGGGCAGCGGGAAGCGGACAGCGGGAAGCGGACAGCGGACAGCGGGAAGCGGACAGCGGGAAGCGGACAGCGGACAGCGGGAAGCGGACAGCGGACAGCGGACAGCGGACAGCGGTAAGCGGACAGCGGGCAGCGGGAAGCGGACAGCGGGAAGCGGACAGCGGACAGCGGGAAGCGGACAGCGGGAAGCGGACAGCGGACAGCGGGAAGCGGACAGCGTGAAGCGGACAGCGGACAGCGGGAAGCGGACAGCGGGAAGCGGGCAGCGGAAAGCGGGAAGCTGACAGCGGACAGCGGGAAGCGGGAAGCGGACAGCGGGAAGCGGACAGCGGGAAGCGGACAGCGAAAAGCGGACAGCGAGAAGCGGACAGCGTGAAGCGGACAGCGGACAGCGGGAAGCGGACAGCGAGAAGCGGACAGCGCACAGCGGGAAGCAGACAGCGAGAAGCGGACAGCGGACAGCGGGAAGCGGACAGCGGACAGCGGGAAGCGGACAGCGGACAGCGGACAGCGGACAGCGGACAGCGGTAAGCGGACAGCGGGCAGCGGGAAGCGGACAGCGGGAAGCGGACAGCGGACAGCGGGAAGCGGACAGCGGGAAGCGGACAGCGGACAGCGGGAAGCGGACAGCGGACAGCGGACAGCGGACAGCGGTAAGCGGACAGCGGGCAGCGGGAAGCGGACAGCGGGAAGCGGACAGCGGACAGCGGGAAGCGGACAGCGGGAAGCGGACAGCGGACAGCGGGAAGCGGACAGCGGACAGCGGGAAGCGGGAAGCGGACAGCGGGAAGCGGACAGCGGGAAGCGGACAGCGAAAAGCGGACAGCGAGAAGCGGACAGCGTGAAGCGGACAGCGGACAGCGGGAAGCGGACAGCGGGAAGCGGACAGCGTGAAGCGGACAGCGGACAGCGGACAGCAGCAGCGGCAGCGGGCATTCTTCTTTTTTTTTATTTGATTCTCTTTCCTTTTACAGTTTCGAGCTACAGCAGTAGCAGTAGCAGCAGCGGGCAGCGGAGAGCGGACAGCGGGAAGCTTACAGCGGGAAGCTTACAGCGAGAAGCGGACAGCGTGAAGCGGACAGCGGACGGCGGGATGCGGACAGCGGACAGCGGGAAGCGGATAGCGGACAGCGGGAAGCGGACAGCGGTAAGCGGACAGCGGACAGCGGGAAGCGGACTGCGGGAAGCGGACAGCGGACAGCGGGAAGCGGACAGCTGCAAGCGGACAGCGTGAAGCGGACAGCGGACAGCGGGAAGCGGACAGCGGACAGCGGACAGCGGGAAGCGGACAGCGTACAGCGGGAAGCGGACAGCGTGAAGCGGACAGCGGGCAGCGGGAAGCGGACAGCGGGAAGCGGACAGCGTGAAGCGGACAGCGGACAGCGGACAGCAGCAGCGGCAGCGGACATTCTTCTTTTTCTTTTTTTT